CTCCCTAATCAGCAATGGCTCAGAATGAGATCTAGGGTTAGAAAAAGTCATTATTCTGACGACTCGTTTCTGCAAAGTAGTTACTGGTTTTAGATAGGCTGGGTATGCAAGACCCCAAACATAAATAACATAAGTAAGAAAAGGGTAGATTAGGGAAAAGTAAAGCATACTAAGTATATCAAAATTAACATAGAACCTTGAATTTTAAAAGATGCCTACAGTTTTCGATAGTTTTAGGCAGAGTTCATTAACACTTTTCCAAGTCAAATTTGAGTCAAAAGTGACATCTAAGTATTTGACTGTGAAAACTTCTTGGATGTTCACATCATTAATTTTTAAATTTAATGACGTGTAACATCCGCAACATCCTTTTTCCTTGCTTCGTGTTCAAGGTAACCGCTTTCTTCTTTGATGAAACTTTCGTCGTCGTCGTCATCATCGTCGTTTGCATCCTGCTCTGGATCTTTCGGGACTGTGGATTTTCTTCGTGTCAAAGCAGAAAGCCTCGTGAGGAGGCTTTGAACCTGGCTCTTCGTTAGCCCTTCATTTCTGGTGAATTTTCGTGTACGATCTGCCTCTCTCGCCTTTCTCATTTCCGCCGCAACTTGCATTGCGCAGGATCGGCTTTTCCTGCTACTCTTTAACCGGTTCGAAACCTACTTGTAATATATCCTTTCACTTTCTTGGTGAATCTTGTTCCTCTGCCTTCGGTTTCTGAAGAACCCAGCCCAACTTACACACTTTAGTCAGTTCAACTTCACCCGTCACTTCGGGTGTTGCTTTCTTTGATTCAGCAGTTAGGGAGGAAAATTTCAAGTCTAAGGCTCTCTGATGGTTCTTTCTTGCTGTGCTCCCTGAGGTGCACATGATCTTAGAGTTCTTCTGAATAAGTGAACTCAGAGCAGCATCCTTGTTCTGGGCAGTGAAATAGCATGTCCTCTTTATTATCGCTAGAACTTTGGCTATGATTGCGATTCTGGTTTATGGCCTGTGGTGCTGCGGCGAAGAAACCATGATTCTCAACTTCCCTTAACATAAAGGGGCCTTGCTTCTCAAGGATGAGCTCTGACAATGGTATTCATTTGCCCGTGCCGACCTCATAGGATTTTGAGAGACTAAGACCATCCTTTTCATAGACAAAATTGTGGAAAACGCTGAAATTATTGATGCGCTTAATTTTGACTTCCTTTCTACGCGTAGGAAGGCTCAGCTCTCAAAACGATGAACCTATGACATAATCTCAAGGCCGTTGTCCTCCACTTTCCTCATAATAGGGACTTTAAACAAACTACGACGGCGACGGCAATGAGAACGTGGAAAAACAATAGATCTAATTTTATTTTCCAATTTCGTAGCCAAAACGAAAGAAAATTAACTCGTACTCGAGGATTTCGCTGGATATATGGTAGTACTTAAAATGACTTAATACGTCGTCCTGGCAAGATTTTGGGGCTGAAACTCTTAGATACCCGCAGCCACCACAATCTTTGCTTTCCATGAAACACGTAGAAAATTTTGTAGGATAAATTTCTCGAAACATATAAATAACTGAAGAATCTCTCCTCTGTTCTAAACAAACACGTGGGTAACAGACTCAGCTAAAGCGAGGAGGCTGGATCGAGGCATGCTTGAACCTTCACCCCATTAACAATATTGCACAGGGGGGTAGACAAATGTAAGCTCATATACCATCCCCAATTCCTTTAATTCAGTCCACTAACTTTCGTTCTAATTCGATGCATCAACTACTTTTTAGTTACAATTTACATACCCGCGAAACAAGTCATGAAACAGATGGACAAGGGATTTTACGTTGTTACAGTTCACAACGTTCTTGGGGGACGAGCTCAATCCTTCCCAGCGACCAGGCCGGGTTTGGTGGCAGGGAAGGATTTAGCTTGTCCCTCAAGAACGTTGTGGACTGTAACAATATAGAATCTCTTGTGATGGCAGCAAATGTTCAGAAAGGAGGGCCTGTTGATTTCATTCGTGTGCCAAAGCCCAGTAGCTGTGAAACTGCAAGAATTCTTGCAGAAGGTTGTTTTGTAAATGGTACCGCAACGTACATGTATTTTAACCTGTTTGTGTGCCAGAATGCCTAATTGGATTGTTTAGTTTTGATCTTCTCCCCTCTGAACGTGGCTCTCGACCTGATTCAAGGAAAATAATCGAGGAAGCGCCTTCCTATCGCCTTTGTTTACTTCGTAAGTCATCCAAGCGTTACGACTGATCATGTTTATCCAACGTTTTAGGACACCTCGCAATTTATTTTCCATCCGGTTGTTATGAAAACCTGAAATACGTTACGAAGAAAATCATGACAAACGAAGTTTGAGCGGTCAAAGACATATCTTGGTCATTTTTTCGAGCTATGCATATAAGGGTGAATGAAAGCTATGCATATAAAGCTATGCATATAAGGGTGAATGAAAGCTATGCATATAAAGCTATGCATATAAAGCTATGCATATAAAGCTATGCATATAAGGGTGAATGAAAGCTATGCATATAAAGCTATGCATATAAAGCTATGCATATAAAGCTATGCATATAAGGGTGAATGAAAGCTATGCATATAAAGCTATGCATATAAGGGTGAATGAAAGCTATGCATATAAAGCTATGCATATAAAGCTATGCATATAAAGCTATGCATATAAGGGTGAATGAAAGCTATGCATATAAAGCTATGCATATAAAGCTATGCATATAAAGCTATGCATATAAGGGTGAATGAAAGCTATGCATATAAAGCTATGCATATAAAGCTATGCATATAAAGCTATGCATATAAGGGTGAATGAAAGCTATGCATATAAAGCTATGCATATAAAGCTATGCATATAAAGCTATGCATATAAGGGTGAATGAAAGCTATGCATATAAAGCTATGCATATAAAGCTATGCATATAAGGGTGAATGAAAGCTATGCATATAAAGCTATGCATATAAAGCTATGCATATAAAGCTATGCATATAAGGGTGAATGAAAGCTAAAGAGATACCCGAAGGTTTGAGACAATCGGAGACCTCATAGGTGTAAAAACCATCCTCCGATATGTCATTTCAGATCGATTTACGCCTGCATTTTGAGAATTTTTTCTTTTAAATTGGTTAATTTTTGATATGCAAATTAAGGTTGAAGGGAGGGATGTCTTCTGATTACACTGATATGAAAAGGATTTCAAGTAAAGTCTCCATATTTTTTCTCTGAACTGACTGAATATAGCTTGTAACCTGAAGCAAGAGAGAATTCCGTGAGCTACACTATTACAGTCGCAGCACGCTAGACAAAAGCTGTGAAATTTACACTTTCGATCGTTATCTACACTGGTGGTCTAGTCAAAAGTCAATTTTCGCTTGTGGCGAGGCAGGAAAAAGAGAATTGGTAAACAACCAAATTATTTTTAAAATATGTGTCCTAAATCCTATTCATAGGAAAAAAACTAAGGAAAATTCTTTTGGACAGGAGGTCGAGAGGACCGCCCTTAGCGAGAGTGGCAGGTAAATTTGCAAAAGTAACTGTCGTGTTGTTAACGACTAATAAATGGGTTTCCAATATAGAGAAATCGAGACGTGACATCTCAATCACATGTTTATTCGATCTGTCTGATATTACACAATACTTACGAGGATATAGAAATTACATACATGATCACGTGGTACCAACTAGATTACATCATTGTATAATTATATTCACTAGTACGATAGGTCAAATACTACAGTAACCATGTCTTTCAAGACTCGGCCATATTCCCTGGAAGAACACCTTTTAAAATATCATAGACAATTGAATACTCTTTAAGGTGCTAAAGCAAGTCAGTTGAAGAAAACCCTTTCAAAGCCACTAAAACGACGTAGTGACAACAAACGCACTTAGACATAGACTTACGCGCGTACCTCAGGAAATCTAATACATATTTTGAAAACAACTGTTAAAGTTTACCGGGCTCATTATTCGTCATGAGGTATCATAAAAAGGGACAGAGACAGAGAGCTATACATCATATCACGTCAAAAGACTGCGGGCTCACAAATATTAGTAGCTTTTAGACTACGAGTATTCCCGCCTTTTCGGCATAAGTCTGTCTCGCGAGTCAAATAAAGAATCAGTGAAAAAACTGCGCTGSGGGGAACTCTTGGAGTGACGCTGATACTCCGCGGGAGCTCCATGGTTGAGCGATCTCGTTCCCAGGGCCTCTCATCTTCCCATCCCCCTGGAGCGAGCGAGGAGAGGGCAGGAAGATGAGAGACCCTGGGAACGAAGTTGCATGGTTGAGGAGCTTGAATAGTCTTAAAGTACCCGCAGCGGATCGGCGTCACTCCAAGAGTTCCCTGCGGCGCGCTAACAGCAATTTTTTTCACTGATGTTTTTTGACTCGCGCGACAGACTTCGATGAAAAGGAGAAACTGCTCGTAGTCTAAGTAGCTTTAGTCCCTCGATGAAGAACGATGATTATCAGGTATTTCCAGCCTCCATTTTGCTCGTTTAACTTACAACCTTCTGGTTAATTACCGTGTGTGTTCGTATGGTCAGTAAGACGATGTTGCATTCTCTAGAGTCTTATCAATCTCTCCTAACATTGTATTACTTTCTTTCACCAAACCTACAGCTTTGTCACTTCAGTGTTACAATTGCAACAACGCTCCGGAGATTCCAGAGGGAACAAGCTGCGCAGCCGACATTATTCCAAAATTCACTTGCCCTCCGACATTTGACAGATGTTTTACAATTAAGTATACCATTGGACAACAAAAAATTGAGTTAAGAAATTGTTCAACGAGCCAGTTCTGTAGTGCGCAAAAAATTCGTAAGTATTGCAATGATGTAAATCCCTATCCTAAGACTCACACTTCTGCAGTTCTGCATTTCCCTTAAAGGTACACAACTCGTATGTTGATCCAAATGGCAGAACTATTTCCTGTATGCCTTACTGTCAATANNCTTTAAGCCTCTTTGATTGACATATCACACCTATTGAGATATTTCTGCAAGGAAAAGCTTTCATGGTTGATTCCATTGTCAATTTATTTTGATATTTTTATCGTCTTTTGTAGTGTGACGGCAAGAACTGAAAAGATTGTATATTCGTATCTACATAATTTGATTACTTAAACGGTAGAATGCTCTCTTTTAAAAAAAAAGATTTTCCTTTGAGTTCCAGGATGCGCCGATCACACCTATTACGATATTTCTGCTTGGAAAACTTTTGTTTTGGATCGCCCGCAATCCTGAAATGATTATGAGATGTTTACAGTCTTCTGCTGTCGTTCGTAATGTCACGGAAAAAACTGAAAACATAATGTGGTAGTGGTTAGAAAGTAGAAATCACGAAAGGAAAGAACTACACTGTGTAATGGAGTGCGAATGCCGAACAACTAAGATAGTCCCACGAAAAAACAGTGAATAGCACTGAGGAACATCGGAGAAGAGAAGACTCTTTTCACAATGTTCTGTTATCTGTAGATGAAAATCAAGTAAAGCAATGATCCTTTAAGGCGTGCTACAGTCCGAGTAATTGCAAATATGAAGCCCGAGAAAATTTAGAAATTTATTTTATTTGAATTTGTTACTTTCTGTGAGGTACGCGGAGTTGACAATTTCAAATTTTTGAGGGGGCTCCATCTTCTAGTCTGCGAATAATACTCTGGCTCATCACAATGATTCATCAAGATGTATAAAAAAGCTGGATGAAACCTTACTTGTCTTAAAACATCAACATGTTGATGTTTCTGTTAAACGTCATTTTAGATAAGCTCCTACTTTAGTACGTCCGCTACAGTGGGTCAATTTAACGGGTCGAGTTTCAATGCACGGCCCGCCAAATTCAAAAGTTTGTTTGATTTGATTTTTTACCTTTCTACCTCAGTGAAACCAGAGATATGTTAATTGTTGCACGCTTCGTACTTGAGCCATAAATCCGAGCGAAAAAACCATCCGTAATTTACAGTGAGAACCTCGAACTAGGTACGTAGCAGATATTAAGTTGCACATTTATAAACATTTAACGAGGACTATTTTTGATCCACAGCTTGCAATTCAGTGAAACCTAATGGAACAGAATGCAGCTTCGTCTGTTGCCAAGGTGAACTGTGCAATAATGAAGGCCAGTCCACCATCATCAAACCATCCACCAAACCATCCACTGCCTTTAAACCATCCACCACCTCTACGCCATCCAGCGCTGTACTGGGGCCTGCTTTGAGCTTCGGAGCTTTTTCGTCTGCCTTAATTCTGTCGAAGATTTTAGGCTCCAACTAAGACCTGCTTTTGCATTTCTTTTGATTCAAATTAAATTTTTAAACAAAGCTATCTTCTTGAAGAAAATATTTAATGATGTAAACAGTAATAAATGTAACATGTGTTTGTACCTGATTACATCAAGAACGACGATGGTGTGGGACATTAATACTTTTTGAGAAGCTCTTTTACAGCATGTGAGTAATGATTTTTCTTTTGCTTTTGCTTTGCGTCTTTTGGTTTTCGCTCAATTTTAAATTAACTAAATCGACGGTGGTTTAGCGTTGTCTGTACTAATATCGACAACGATATTCGTCATCAAAGTGGTCAAATTGTTGTGGACTCACGAGGCGCAACCGAGTGAGTCCACAACAAATTTTGACCGCTGTGACCACCGTTGTCGATGAAAGGCAACGCTAAACCACCACCGATTTGTGTTTTTTGCCACGATATTGACGTCAAATAAAACGCTTTCAGTGTGTGACCATTGCGTGACATGTTGACGCGATGTTGAATGTACTCTATAAGTGCAAAATTTTACTGAGTTGACCCCAGATTACAGTACTTCTAATAGGCTCTTTTACAGTTGTGCACTTGGATACCAAGCCTTTGATTTGGAGTGAGGCTGAAGGTCACCTTATTGTGATAGAGACCAGTATCTAGCATGATAACAAAGTATTTTACATGTGAAAAGTTACAATTATAATAATAATAATAAATGTTTATTCACAATCAATAAAAAGTGAAAAGGAGATAAAAGAGGTTATCCCTTTCTGGTTTATCTGCTGATAATAAAATCGATTACGACATTAATTTAGATACAACTATATAGATAATACATCAAAAATAAGAACTTAGTGTTAACTAGCAAAATTTATGAGGTGACTTCGCAGTCTATTCTTAAAAATATTCAAATTTGCCACCCCAGCGATTTCCTTTGGCAGATTATTCTAACTATTATTATACGTATAAAAAATGAATATTTGAAAATATTTAAGCTCGCTGATGCAAACTTAAGTTTAAAACTGTGATTGGCTCTTTAAGGCCGAAAATCGTGTGCAAACGTGAAAAATGCCGAGGGATCAAGTCCATTAAGTCTATTTATTGTCTTATAACACTCGGTAAGTGACGAGAATAATCTTCCTTGCTAAAGTGTTGGCCATTTAAAATGTTTTAAGCGCTCTTCGTAGGTCATGTCTTGCCCAATTTTTCCAAGGGCACATTTGGATGCTCTACGTTGTACCTTCTCCAAGGTGTTTGAGTCTCTTTTGAGGTGCGGACCCCAAACTGGGGAGCAGTACTCGAGTATCGGACGGACTAGGCTTTTATAAAGTTTAGAAAACAGTTCAGGGTTTTTAGGAGCCACCGTTCGCCTTACGAATCCAAGTACACTGTTTGCCCTGTTTGCGCAATTGTTGGCTTGCATACTCCACGACAAGTTCGAAGTAATGTAGATTCCGACATCTTTAACTTCTGATACAGCTTTCAACTGGTTACCACATAGATAGTATTGAGAACTTGAGAAATCATTCATTTTAGAATGCGCATCGTTTCGCATTTATTTGCCAGTTATTTGCCAGAGTTTTGTGTTTGACATTATGTTTCTTGAAATATAATTAATATAAATGAGAAATAAAATCGGCCCCAGCACGGTTCCTTGAGGCACACCAGACAAAACTAAAGTCCAAGATGAGAGATGTCCCCGTAGAACAACGCGCTGGTATCGATTGGTAAGAAGACATCTGAGCCAAGACAGGAGTGGGCCTTGGATACCATAAGCGTGTATCTTTGTCAAAAACATACACGCTTATGTGACCTTGTTATGATACAACGTCTGTATCATAACAAGGTCACCCTTAGCCTCATTCCTGTTTAAGGGCTTGGCAACCAAGCACGCAACTGTAAAATGGACTGTTGGGGTAAACATTTTGTTTGCTGGTTGCTTTGTACAAAAGGATAACGGATGCAAGGTCTAAAATTATTTTGCCAGCTTATCTTTATTAAGGGTACGCTTGAGAGTTGTTTTCAAAATTAGAGATAGATTTGTTTCTGAGTTTATGCATTTCAGTAGTGTGTTAGGGTCCATCTAGCCCTCCAGGCTTCTGAAATAGGCAAAGTTCGCAGAGAAACGAGAAAACATTTTGGCCACCAAATGTAAATGCCTTACGAGGAATTTTTACCAACTGCTTTCCGGAAAAGTTCTCTCATATATGTCTTCTCTCGTTCTATCCCATAAATTGGTCACTGATAAAATATGTTCTAAAAAAAAAGACGTTATTCGCAAAAGACCGCTTCTTAATTTATGACACATGCAAAATGGAATTCCTGACAGAGAAGTTTTAGGATTAATAATATGGCATCAGAAACCTTATACTTACCCATGTCACTCCCGAACACTCTTCACTGCAATTCTTTTTTTTTTTTTTTTTTTTGCTGAATGACAAGGACACTTTTGTTTCATGCAATTTAAGCAACGAAAAACCAAAAACGCACCAATTTTGTTTATTACAGTGTCACTGTTCTCAAATACATGTTCCCTGAGAATTCTTTGTATTGATTTTGTTTATTTAAAACAGAGGCTTGTGAAAGAATCAACTCTGCTGGTCGGTCATTTAGTGACGTCATCAATCCATTTCGCTCGGTACCAGAGCGCGGACATGGTTTTGTGTAAATTTTTTGATTTGTACGGTTAAAAAAGATATCTTTCGCTTCCTCTCAAGAGGCTTGCTGTATAAGCCGTGATCTATCCCCCTCGTGTATAGTCGGGTCCAAACCCATAAATGAGTTATTTAACAATTTTTTAACAGTTAATTTCCCACGCAAGAGATTACTGTGTGTTGGATGTCCACCCCTGGGGTGGGATGGGTGGGTTTACAGGGCCCGCAGTAATTGGCACAAGCTATTGCGGTGTCCCTGCCGGTTGGTGAAGCAAATAAACTAAAATAAACTAATAAACTAAACTATTCGCCGAAGGCCGAGTGAAAATTGTTCAGTAAATCTGAGACGAAGTCGAAAGGAATACTCAACAATATGCACTGTGCCTGAGATGAATAATTGTTTTAGCATGATTGCTCAGGTGCTTCCAAATTCTATAATAAATTCGTTTTGCTGTTGAACTGAACATTCTGCTACATTATTTGATCACTCGCATCGAAACAAGCAGCCAGTCTAAACTAGAATTTAAAACAGGTGTGTTTAATCCAATCAGCATAACCTATGCGTCTCTTAGCGATACAAATGAACCACAATTCCAAATCAGTGTTGGACTTGAACTGAACCAACGCAGGTTGATGAGTATGAGGGCGACTTGGAAAGAGAATTCATAGAAATTGAATATTTAAGAGTTAAGGGAATTTGCTACAATAAGACTTCCCGCTATTGAAAGTACTGCACTAACGAGTGGTCCTGTACCATCATCAAGTTAAGACACCATACGTCAATTTTATGCACTCATTATGATTAATCTAATCAGATGGAATCATTACGTCAGTGATGAAGCACTTTTTGGAGTGGCTAGCTCGGTAATAGGAAAAGAAGAGTAAATAGAGTCGACTTCGCAGTGTTGGCCATTTCATCAAGATGCATATATATGAGCGACCACAGCTCAGAAGGGACTAATGTTGAGTGAAATGTCCACGAACTGTCTTGATAGATATGGTTTTAGTAGTCGCTAAATAGAACAGCCACAGAAAATCGACTTGACGAATCCAGCTTGAGGAGTTATTATCAGGACAGTAAAAGCTTCTGGATGCCTAGATATCCTAAACAGTGATTGGGCGGCAAGCCGTAACCAATCAATGCAACGACCAAAGTCCTTACAATTAAAATTCCTTGAGCAATTCCTAATTATTATTCCTAATTGTTATTATTATTATTATTATTATTACTTCTTATACGAAAGTGTGGTTTCGTCAGAGCGATGAAAAAAGGCTAACGTTCGAAACGTCAGCTTTGAAACTCTTTACGGTGGCTAATTTACGTTATCAACCCAGTTAATAAAACTGAAATTACCTTATTATGCTCCCTTGCCGACGCATCACCATAGTTTCTTAAGAAGCTTACCCCGTTATTTTTATGAAAAACGTAGGGTTTATTTTCCTTACTGCGCAGTGTTCATTATTGTGAAGATCGCTCTCGTACTCATCTATTAATCCACGGTTCCCATATATGATTTTTAAGATAATTATTCGCAGTAAGTGATTGAAATCGAGAAAAAGTTTGTCCGCTTAACTATAACCATGCAAAATGAAAGTTATGATTAGCGATAGATTTACTGTCCGTACTGCCAAAGACTTTCCATTTTAATATCATTTTCAGTTGAATTACGAAATAGCTCTACGATTGAAATAAGTAAATTTGAAGTACAGTGAATAAGCCGCTTTTCTCTATGGACACAAGTGATTACGTAGCAATGATCCGTGTGAAGTAACATAATTTAATTATGCCTGAACAACTTCTGCACCATGCCTGCGCACGTATCAAGGGAAAAACTGTGCAATATGGTTGCTTCTTTAAAATATCCTACCTCTTTCGCTATTCTGTTTTATGCTGAGAAAGGTAAAAGGAAAATTGAACAAGACTAGTGAGCTGGATGTAAGCGGAATTTGCATGAGATTGTTCCGGTTCAGCGCGGTGTTAATGTTTTAAACCTCGAGAATGCATATTTGTAAACTCGATAGGTGGATTGATCAGCGCCACGTTAGCGTAAATCGCTCGTATCCTGTCCTTTTTTTGAATACAGAGATTCAGTCTCTCGCATCTCGTAAAATAATAACTTTCTAAACGCAGAAATTTAACCTGAATATTTAGATAAACTAAAGGACCGTAAATTGAAGTAGCAACATCGTCGTTTGCAAGCAATGCGCTTTAATCGTGTCTATGAATATAGCCAGTCCTGTTCAAGTTTAATTTCTTGGTGCATCACCTAAGATTTCTATTTTTACCGCAATAATTTATTGACTCCTTACCGGGGCTTTGAAAGTAAGCAAATTTTACGTTCCAAAATATAAAATGCGCCTCATTTTCAGTTTGAAATCTATCACTTGCATGCAACCCGTGTTAATATTCTTCAATCTCAGACATTCCTGTTCCCACGTACTTTTTCCGTGTTGCCAAAAACAACTTAAAATACTGTCACATAACGCCTCTGGGGTCACTGTTATCGACATCCGACACGCGCAGAGCATAATTCTCACAGATAGCGTGCACTCTCTAATCACGTGAAATGCCTAATGAGTTATAAATAGCGCAACCTTGCCCAGCCTTTAAATTGCCCGGTTGCAGTAACGGCAAGATCGCACCCAGATTTCTTTTATAGAGGTCTACTTCAACTCTCTCGTCCACGATTCATGGCTACTCCGTTCCTTTTCGTCTCTGTCGCTCCCGTGCTGGTTCTTTTTATGATACCTACCGGTAAGTAAGATTTATAGTTTTTGGTTCATCCATTAGATGTCTACAGATGTCATAGAATGATGGAAATAAGTGAAAGATGTAGTTTGGATATCTGAAAAGAGATCAGTTCAACACGCAGCTCTTTTCTAATCACAGCTCTACTGTGTTCAGTCAAGAATTGATTGGGTCGCCTTTGGCAAATTAGGCAAGTATGACGGTGAATGCATCTGTCAAATTTTCTCGTCTTGATTGCTAGCTACCGTTATTTTGCAAAAACTTTAGACGAGGCCACGTTCTCTTTTGCATGATTGAATTCGGAGTCAGCCACATGGTTTAGACTGTAAGGCAAATGGCAGAGTATAGAAAGTGGTTTGTCAGCTAATCGTAAAGTTATCTTTCATTCTAGTCTATAGAGACGATGGCATAACAAATAATTAGTAATTAAAATAAGTAAATGGGCAAACTTATTTTTCTTAGAGCGGCAAAGGACTTTCGCCTCAGCTCAAACAAGAAAGGCTGCTTTGTACTTCTATTAAACTTGTTCTTACGAAAAATTAGGTCAAAATATTGTCCCAGAGCACCTTTACTTTGCTTTGTTTGATTTTCCGAATAGTTTAATTAAAGAAATATGCGTATATCGTAAGAGCGAAATCTTTTTAGTGACTTTCAAATGTCTCTCATACCATGAAAACATGGCGCGCCATTCGGACTAAATTTAAGCAGGACGATGTATACTGGTTTCTTTCCTGTGTATAAATTGCCTTCTGATTCTGCTAATGCTTTGATACAGCTTTTTTAAAACCTTAAATTCAAAACATTTCTATTTTTTAGAGACTCGAATGAAAAAAAGCAAATACTATATGAACCTCGCACGTATATTCATGAGTCAGTGAATTGAACTTTCACCATCGTTTTTCCAGCTTTAGTACAACGCATCGGGCTTTTTGTTGATCGCAACGTTTATGTTTTCCTTTTTTATATTGGTTAAAGCACTATAATGTCCATAGACAAAGAAGAAATGAAGGAATGTTACTTTTAGAATCGCTAGAATTAAACTGTGTCTTTGCGTTGTGACCTGCGGCCAAAGAACACCTTCGACGAGGTAAATAACAGCATGAAAAGTTAAAGTAATTGACGTAGCCTTTTAATTCCATTTGGTTTTATTCGCTTTTAATCTTCCTGTTTTGCAAGGGAAACAAACTGAAACTAAAAATGACTCGTAGAAGAGCAGTTCCAACGGCTTTTGTTGAAAGCGGAAAAACTGAATCGCACGTGTTATCAAGATCGGACATGTCTTCGAAGAATCCCTTTTGCCATAGTCCCTCGGTGACAAGTCGATGTGGTTGATTTACACAATTTAAGATACAGCAATATTTTTGGAAGGGATCACTTTTCATCCACGATTATGGTCGAATAAAAACCGCAAGGCTTAACCGTTAAGAACAAACTGCCCAACACTTTGAAATGTGAACTCTCTTCTGTTCTAAATCAGTACTGATTGGACTTAATACGTGTTGTGTTTTCCTGCTGACGTAACTTTTTGAGGATAAGACAACTCATATAATATAGAGAAATCACGATCTGCAAGTGAGTGCAGCAATGGATTATCGATTGTTCTCAGCTTCCACTTTGTTCCTTCTCACATGAGGCTAAACGCATGTAGAACTTTCTCAGTGCTTGAATACCGCTCACCTTTGAATATCACAACTGCATTTGAATTTATTTCAAGTTATTTTTTTTGCCACACAAGAATAAATATTTACAAGGACACATGATAAGTCAATGTTTTTGGCGAGGAAGCCTACATGAAATCGCGAGACTTGAACAAGGTTAGGCTTCCAACGAAAGCTCGTACCAATATAAAACAATCACTACACTAGTATATGGCAATTGCGAACATACAATCTGTATTAAGTCACATGAATGACATGCCATAGCTAACCTTTGCAATTCTTTTTGCCCAACAGCTGTATCTCTCCAGTGTTACGAATGTAGCAACCTCCCAGATGTTCTTGGTGGAACTAGCTGCAACCTCGACAATGTGAAAAAGCTCACTTGCCCTCCGTTTTTCGATAGATGTATGACGATGAAGTATGACATGTCTATCGGAATTGGAGCATCGCAATCAGTCGAGCTTAGGAACTGTTCATCCAGCCTAGCCTGTAATCCCCAGTCGGACTTCAATGGTAAGCACAAGAAAAAAGTTCTTCTTTGTCTTTATTTAAATCGTCTAACATGACTACTTCTTTTTTTCTAGGTAAACCCAAGTCTTAATTTAATTTTACAAGCAGTACTATACCACGTGTTTCTTTCTGTTAAGCATTTGGGTGTTGAATCATCAAAACTGAAGTAGTCCATCGCTGGAAAAATAAAAGTTCGTAAGAAAAGCTCGAGGGAAGATTTGTCATGACACTATTTACAACAAAAAGTTGATATGCTTGAGACAATGGTATACCTTGCTATTTAGATTTGTTGTACGCCGCCAAGAAAAAAAGCAAGGGTTGTGCACGTAATTTAGTGTATACCTCGCAAGGATGGCATATATATATATATATCAGTTTATCATTTACTATTGCTCAAATAGTGCTTTACTGCGAAGGATCGTGCACATATACGTTTCATAACCGCAGTTCATACATATGTTTCATATGTTTGTTGTTGTTTGATTTATCATCTACGGCTTTATGTCGAATTAATTTGATGGCCTGCTCCCAGTTGGCTTGTTAGCTCAATTGGTAGAGCGCTGCACTAGTATCGCAGAGGTCAGTGGTTCGAATCCCGTACAGGCCTGAAATTTTTTTCAGGTCTGATTTTCACTATTGCTCAAATAGTGCTTTACTGCGAAGGATCGTGCACATATACGTTTCATAACCGCAGTTCATACATATGTTTCATATGTTTGTTGTTGTTTGATTTATCATCTACGGGTTTATGTCGAATTAATTTGATGGCCTGCTCCCAGTTGGCTTGTTAGCTCTATTGGTAGAGCGCTGCACTAGTATCGCACAGGTCAGTGGTTCGAATCCCGTACAGGCCTGAAATTTTTTTTTTTTTTTCAGGTCTGATTTTCACTATTGCTCAAATAGTGCTTTACTGCGAAGGATCGTGCACATATACGTTTCATAACCGCAGTTCATACATATGTTTCATATGTTTGTTGTTGTTTGATTTATCATCTACGGGTTTATGTCGAATTAATTTGATGGCCTGCTCCCAGTTGGCTTGTTAGCTCAATTGGTAGAGCGCTGCACTAGTATCGCAGAGGTCAGTGGTTCGAATCCCGTACAGGCCTGAAATTTTTTTCAGGTCTGATTTTCACTATTGCTCAAATAGTGCTTTACTGCGAAGGATCGTGCACATATACGTTTCATAACCGCAGTTCATACATATGTTTCATATGTTTGTTGTTGTTTGATTTATCATCTACGGGTTTATGTCGAATTAATTTGATGGCCTGCTCCCAGTTGGCTTGTTAGCTCAATTGGTAGAGCGCTGCACTAGTATCGCAGAGGTCAGTGGTTCGAATCCCGTACAGGCCTGAAATTTTTTT